GCTCTGTTTCTTCAGTATTTGGCCAATAAATTACAACGGTGCCTTCCTGGTGTTAAGTTTAAATTGACTCTTTGTTTCCATTTTCTCTAAAACTTCATCGTTGCTCACATGTTCGGTCCAAAGTATCCTTCTGTAGAACAGTTGCTTCAAGTCTCTTCTTCATCAAGTCTCTTCTTCATCAAGTCTCTTCTTCATCTTTGAGGAAATTATCTAGCATTCATTGACATACAGGAGAACAGATAACACGTAACAGTTCAGTATTCTTTGTTTTTGTTTTGTTTCTAACGAAGTTTTCCTATCTCTTAATACTCTGCTTAGCTTTTGGAATGCATCTTTGGCCATCCCAATTGGTCTTCGGATTTCAGTGTAAGTTAGAACACTTCTCAGTTATTTAAAATTTTGTACTTTGTTTGTAATATCTACAATTTATAATTTGCATTTCGGCTCATCATTTTTTTTAATTAGGATAAAACCAATGTTGTTTCTTTTGTTTTTCTTCTCTATTTTTCATATTCGAAATTAGATATCGTGGTTGATATGAATTCATGCCTTTTTCAAGGCATATACCACCGTGAACATTAAAAAGGTACAACAAGGTGATAGTCGATGCCGTTTCTCAGCTATTTACCTTTACACGGCTAATAAAAACACATATAAAAAGTTCTCCATTATCCGTCATGTATAAGCAACAAGGACTCCAAATGGGGACTGAAACTCTACGAATATATTCCGGATAAATTCACATGCCACTTAAGAAAATGTATTCTTGATCAAACCAAATTTATGAAGAAATATATTGGACATACCACTACATAATTATCAAGAAGACTCAAATTACATCTCTCTGATCATAACTCAATGAAGACGCATTTGAATACAGACGAAGCCGAGCAAACTCCATCCGAAACATAAACGTAGAAAAATAAAGTTATATTATCATCTACATGTAGAAAAAAGGATAAAGGTAATGGAAGTATTAATAATAAAGAAGAAAAAAAAGATAGCAATTAATGACATCAAATATGAACACATTATGCTCACCATGTTTTGAAAAATATTAACACAT